GCATTATAAATCAGAATATATATTCCAAAAGAATGTAAAGAAGAAAAGAGTAACGAAAAGCCCCTACAAAAACATGTACCTACATATTATTGGAACATAACAATCAAGTCACTCTAAATTTTAACCTATAAAAATAACAAATGACCAATTGTTTTGAAATGTAACAAGTCAATGATACTAATAAAAGGAATAAAATTCTGAAAATATTTTCTATAAAAATTAAAAGTGTCAAGACAGAGGAAATTTCTGAGAAAATGCTAAAAAAGAAGCAGACATGAGACTTTGGGGGAGAATAGATTGCAAAGTCTCTAGTGTATAGAGGAGTCAATGTAGTACATGGCAATGAATGAGACCCATATTAATTAAAAGTAAAAGAATGCGTATCAATATCCCACCGTGAGGTTAACTCAAAGACTTAGGCCACGGCTTCACTGTTTTGCTTTTTGAGAAAGAGAGATAGAAAAGAATGGGGTATAAGGTCTGAAAAAGACAAACAAAGCGTGTGGGCCCCCCAACATGGAAAGCCATGCACATATTGTTGCTTTACTACTCTCTTTGGTTTTCTAAAATATCACTCATTTTAATTATTTACATTGAAATAAATTACAAGCGTATAAATCATACAATAATCTTATTTAAGATTGTTGAATGCTATTGCAAAAATACTTTTTTTAAGGGAGAGGCAAGAACAAAACACTACAAAAATACTTTAGAAATTGTACAAAACAAACCTTCCTTATGTTTTCAAGATTTTATTTTCATATACCAAAATACTAATTGATTGTTAAATTACAAATTTTAGGCCAAAATATTTCTCTCTCTAATCAAAATGCTGTTTAAAATTAATTCAAAAATGTAATTTCATAGCATATGTTTTCAAACATGTTTTATTCATATATTAAATTTAAATGTCTAATTCATGTGAACTATATTTTTTCAAACTCAGGGACTAATTAATGATTCGAATAGTAAACGCTTCAAGAACCAAGTTACAATTAGTCAAAGTTTCAATCAAATTAATATTTAATGGATTTAGTTAAAGTTTAGTCAATAATCAAGTTAAATTTATAGACCAAAATGATTAATTTTTCCTTTAAAAAAAACCTCCTATTTTGGTAAAATTAGAAGAAAAACCCATCTATCTTACCTAAAAATATAGATTAGAGGGCATCTTTGGACATAATATGTAAAACTAGGGAAGCCACACCTTAAGTAGCTTGCCTTCAAAAAGACCTCTAGCCATCAACACAATTTCAATAATCCAATATGACAAGCACATTTGATGAAGACTCATAGTAGAACTAATCAAGCCTCAAGCCATCAGCACAATTTCAATAATGCAACCATAGTAAATAAAGACTCACACTACAATTAGTTAGGCCTCCGGCCGTCAGCATAATCACAATGATCCAATATGATAAATGTTCAAGAAAAATATACTTATATAAACTGAAGCCGACCTCTGGTCCACAAATTCTTTAGTTTTCTCATTATAATGTGTCTTCTTAAATAGTTCAAACATTGTAGGATTTCTTCCCAACTCTAAAGCCTGCAGTTATTTATAAAGATGTATTACATAATGCAACAAATAAACCATAATTGTATTTGAAGATAAATTCTTACCAGCCTCCTCTTATGCTCACTATTAGGAATACTCCCCCCTTTGTGTTGAGTTCCTCCTACGGAAGAAGCTCGATTGACTTTAGCTATCTCACAATTGGCCTTGTAATCTTCTGATGACCAAATTTTTTCTAACTCGGCCATTACTTCTTCTGGAATCCAATCAGGCCTCACATTTTTTTGAAATAGATCATGCCTGATATTATGCATTGTATTTCTCAAGATTTCTGCACATTTTGTGTCACATCCAGTATTATGGTAATTCGAAATAAGGAATATTCCTAAATAATTGAGGGTCAAAAATAATAAGGAGAAATAGAAGGATTTTGGTGGAAAATAATTATTATGATTTTCCAAGCCAATTATGAAAAGTTTGACTAATTAAGGAAAATTGGTCAAGAATAATTATGGGAAAAATATTTCAAGTCATAGAAATTGAGGGAAAAATAAGGATAATATCCTTTGAGAATCATATGAGATTATAAAATTAGTTTTAAGGTCAAATTACCCTTAGAGAAATTACAAAGGAATTTAAGCTTGATTTAGCCTAATTTAAGGGCTTTTATCTGGAAAATTCCAAATAAATACTTTAAGGAGAATAAAGGTTCAAGAAAATTTCTATGATATCTCAAGGAATTATAAGAAATTATAGAATTAAAATAAAACCCTCAAGTATCCAAGATTTTCCCTAATTTCTTTGAAAAGTGGAAAAATCCGTAAGAAAAGGAAATTTATTTTTCCTTTTATGTTAATTATGGGGAAATTAATTTTGAGACAAAAAAGGGCAATTTAGAAAGATAAAAATGAGGAGAGTAAAATAGGGCTCTGATAGAAAATAATTATAGAGGTTAGAATACTATAATTATAGAAAAGGATTCAAACTCGGAGTCAAAGTGCACCGATAAAGAGCTTTGCATTTTGAATGATCCTCATTGAGCGAAGTGTCAAACCCTTAATGGAGAGGATTTGAAATTGCCAAGTGTCATTTTCTAAATGGAGAGGATTTTGAATTTTGGTAATTAATTTCATTTGGATTTAGTTAATTAAGAAAGAGAAAGAAGGAACCAAGGGGGTAGTAACACTTGGATTAGCATTAATGATGGTGGTTGAGATATTTTGAAGCATTAAATGAGCACTTCCTCCCCTAAAATCAGACCTCCATTTTGTGCAAGCCATAGCCAAGAGAGAAAAGAGAGTGTTTCAAGTGGAACCAAGGAAGAACTAAGGAGAAAGATAGCATCTTGGAGCACACAAGTGAGATTCAAGGTTAGTTTTTGGTTCTAAGTTGTTCCTTGCCTTGTTTTCTTGCTTTGAATGGTTGGAAATCTTGTTTCTCCTCTTCTTTGGGTGCTGGACGAAATGATGATGGTGTAGGGGAAGGAGTTATGTTGCTCAAATATGGTAAAACACTTCAAAACATAAAAGATCCAAGTGGTTACAAGTGATTTTAGGGTTTTTTGGAAGTGTGTTCTTTATTGTGTATTGTAAGGAGCATTTCGGTTTTGACACTAAATGGCCCCTAGGATGAGATTTTCAATGTTTTGATGGTTCCATGGTGTTTAAAATGGAAAAACATGTGGGGATAAGGCAAGAAAGGATTTTTAAACCCTATGGAAAACAAGTTCAAAAGCAAAGAGCAAAGATGGAACCTTTATGAAGCAAGAGTATTTTTGAGCTATGTTCTTGCTTTTGGTTGAAATGGATAATGATTCTTGTTGTCCTTTTTATGGATTATCATGCTAGGGTTTTACCTTTGTGAAGAAAAAGAAGAGAATCAAAGAAAGCACAAATCTTTGGATCAAGGTAGCAAGTTAAACCTAGCTACTACCACTAACTAGCATTGTTGATTATTGTATGGTTAATTGCTATTATTGTGGTTGAGCTCTCTTGATTGTTATGTGGCTACTCTTTATAGTATCTTGCTTTGGCCTTTGCATGATTGAGTTTGCCAAATGATAAGCATGTTAGTTCATCAATAGTAGCTAATGTGATCATGCATAATAATGATACCTGCTTGGTGCTATAGTTGGTTAATTTGCTATTGGAATTTTCAAAAATCTCATCCCCTAAAAATAATGTAACATTTTAGGGCCTGAATCCTCCAAGGGAAAGCTGCAGATTGAAGGCTAATTTGTGGGGTTTAGCCACAAAAATTCGTGAGCTCATTTTGGTTATGTAAATATTAAACTAACAATGCTGGAAGCACACTGACACTGACTGGTTCATGTGACTTTTTGATTATGTTCCCGAATGCTTTTAGTCATGAAATTTGGCATGATGAAAGATAACGTCCTGAGCTTCAAATTTATAGCCAATACGTTAAAAATGGACCAGTATACGATTTATAATGATTTTTCAAAGTTAATGGTTAGAATCTGGGAATCAGGGTTTTTGGCAAATGGACAGTGTTGCTTTTCTCAAAAACCTGACGCTTTTTCATAAGGAATTGGACAATGAGATTATTTTTCCTTGAAATAGGACTTAAAGAGATTTAAGTAGAATTATGAACCACCCCAATTGGATTTTTGTAGAATAAGTTATGAATTTTTAAAGTTGGGCCAGAAAAACTGGATTTTTACCCGATGAACAGTAAAAATCCGAAATTTAGTGTTTTTGTGGTAAAAAGTGAGCCCAAAACCATCTAATGTGGTCAAAAATGGTTTTAAAAGGAACCTAAGTCAATGTAATAGTAAGGTGTGACATTTTGCATTCCAATTTCTCCTAATATTTTGTTCATGTTGTGGCAGCCACTTATATTTTTTCTGCATAAATGAGAAGCAAAAGAAATCAAAACTAAAGCATAATGTGAAACAAGTCCAGACACAATTTTCCTTAATAATAGAGATAAGATATATCGCCCATTCTGCAAACCACATTCGTTTATACTCAGGGGGAGTCACTTTCCAACTGTAACATGGATGGTCAAATTTTCCTTGAATTACAGGAAGAATATTTCGCACGGTTGCAACAGCAAGATTAAACCTAATAATCATTTTAAATAAATCATTAAAAATGCAAAATAATATTAAGCTAATAAATGAAGATATTAAATAATGTAAACTTGATGACTTACGTTTTCTTGTCAGGATATATCCATGTTTTACCATCTGAGGGATCACAACCCCATGGTGACAAACTATCTGGAATACCCCGTGGAGTGGCGGGTTGTGAGTTTTCTGTTCCAGGTATAGGATTTGAGGAGATGTAGGTGATAACGAGGGTCTGCTAACTGATTCAGCCATAATTGGAGATGATGCATTTGATAGCGAGGCTCTAAATGATGGTATAGGAATGTTTAGAGGTCTAATCGATGTTTCAGACACAGCAGGAGTAGATGTAGTAGCTACATTAGGAAGAGAAGGAGTTTGAAATTGCTGAGGTAATTGTGCAGGTGATGGAGTACTCCATTGCCCTCTACCACGCTTTAGTCGACGACTTGCCATCTGCATATTCAAAATTAAATAAATGAATAAAAACTAAATCAATAAGAACTAAATCTTCTTTAGAAATTAACAGAATTATAATCTAATCTAAATGAAAAATAAAAAAGAAGTTAATGCAATCAATCAAACTGAAAACTAAATAACAAATGCAATGTCACAACCATAATTTATGCATCATCTTCATCTTCATCCATATAAGAATCTTCCTCACCATCTTCTGTTTCTTCATCATCTTGAAGTTCCTCTTCTTCTTCTTGATCATCATCATCATCTTCTTCTTCTTCTTCTTCTTCTTCATCATCATCATCATCATCATCATCATCATCATAAACCATGTTATCAATCGACATGTCTACTTCTTCATAGTGAATTTCAAAGTCTCTTTCATTATTTAATTCATCATCATGAACAATTATTGGTAGTATGACCTCTAATCCATCTGCTTGAAATGCTTCTACGTTTGTTTCAGATGCAGGAGTGTCAATTATGCTATGAGCCTTGATGTTAACAACAGCTAACCAATTTGACTTTTTACGACAACAAGGATAAGGCGTGTAGTACACCTGCATTGCTTGTTGAGTAAAAATGAATGGGTCATACTCGCTATACCTCCGTAATTCATGAACTTCAACAATCTCATATTGTTCATGCACCCTCATACCACAATTTGGTGTTGGATCAAACCACTCACATTTAAATAATACTAGTCTTTTCGCAAGAAGACCCATATATTCAATCTCCATAATTTCTTGTAGAATACCATAAAAGTCATATTCTGATTGTGCATAATCAGCTCCTTTAATTCACACACCACTATTTGTGGTTGACTTTCGAAGGGCCCAGGAAGCATTATGAAACTTATACCCATTGACAAAGTACATAGGCCATGTCCTGACTCTTCTTTTTGGACCCCAAGCAATGTCGTGCAAAAATGGATCCATAATATTGTTGGCAGGGTTTTGAACCTACATGACATTATTAATGAATATCATGATAAATAAGGTTTGTTTCAGGTATTATATAAAACAAATATTACTTACATGATCTTTAAACCATGATGAAAATTGTTGATTGATTTGAGATTCTATCTCATTGTTTGTAATATGAGGCTTCTCTTCCTTTAATATTTGTACAAAAACACTACATAAAAAATAATGCATTAACCATGCATATAATTGGCATCAAGTTTAATCTATCGAATTTCAGTATTACTTACTTCATATAAGGTTGCACCTCATCACAATTCATGAGAACATATGTTGTAGCAGCTTTTGCTTCGTCGTCCTCTAACCAACGACCTTTACATTCCCCATATGGTCTTCCTGGGTAATTAAATATAGAAATTGCTTGCAAATCTAATTGTCCACCATCGTTATTTCTTATAGGTCTTGGTATTCTTGGAGGAACACCAGGCCCAAAGTAGTGTGAGCAAAATATTGTGGTCTCCTCAATTATGTAAGCTTCACAGATAGATGCTTCAACCCGAGCTTTGTTTTTGACCTTTTGTTTCAAGGTATAGAGGAATCTACATAAAAAGAAATGAAACCTAAGAGTTATTATTATACTAATCATATATTTACTCTCAATTTAAATAGATAGGTTTCATTACCTTTTAAATGGATGCATCCATTGATAGTGGATAGGTCCTCCAACCTTAGCTTCATAGGGAAGATGGACAAGCAAATGCTCCATTGAGTCAAAGAACCCTGGGGGAAAGACCTTCTCCAACTTGCATAATGTCACAATAATATTTTTTTCTAACAACTCTAGTTGATCTATCATCAATGTAGTAGAGCAAAGTTGTCTAAAGAATGGACTAAGCTCTATTATAGGATTCAAGACAACTTTAGGAAAAGTAGCAAAAGCAATGGGAAGCAAGCGTTCCATAAAAACATGACAATCATGACTGTTCATTCCATACAACCTTGCTTCTTTCATGTCAACACATCGGGCTAGATTAGATGCATATCCATCTGGGAGCTTCAAGTTCTTTACCCAATGGCAAATTGCTCGTTTTTGTTCTAAATGTAAAGTATATTTTGCACTTGGTTTCACCATTTTCCCTCTTCTCTCAACAAGTTCATCATCCTGCCGTCGACAATATTCTTTCAAGTCTATTCGAGTTTGTGTATTATCTTTTGTTTTTCCCTTTGTGTCCATGACAGTGTGAAACAAATTGTCAAAAACATTTTTCTCAATGTGCATAACATCAAGATTATGTCGAATGCGATTATTTTTCCAATATGACAATTCCCAAAATATGCTTTGTTTTGTCCAATGATGAGTGCTTTTATAGCCTTCAATTGGTATGATTTTTCCATACTCAGTCACCTTTGGAAAGTTTTGTATTCTTTGCCAAACTTCATCTCCGCTTAATCAAGGTGGAGGCATTGATTTCTCAACTCTATTCTTGTAAAATGAGGTCTTATTTCTCCTGAATTGATGATCATCAAGAAGGAATTGACGATGACAGTCAAAGAAAGATTATTTTCTACCATGCTTTAATTGGAATGCTTTTGAATTCTCCATGCATATAGGACATGATAATCTCCCCATTGTCATCCAACCAGACAACATACCATAGGCAAGGAAGTCATTGATTGTCCATAACAGTGCAGCTCGTATACAAAAGTTTTGTCTCAATGAGGCATCATATGTTGACATCCCTTCATCCCATAATAATTTCAATTCATCTAGCAATGGTTGTAAGTACACATCTATTTTTCCTTTAGAGTTATTAGGACCAGCGATGATCAAAGTCAAGAACATATATTCCGGTGTCATACACATCTCAGGTGGTAGATTATATGGGGTCATTATCACAGGCCAACAAGAATATTGTCTCCCAGATTGCCCACATGGTGTAAAACCATCAGCACATAACCCAAGCCTCACATTTCTGGGATCATATGCAAAGTTTGGATATGTACTATCCAAAACCTTCCATGCTTGCCATAAGATGGGTGATAAAGTACATTCAAACTGCGATGATTCTCATAGTGCCATCTCATTTCCTTTGCTGTTTTTTGAGAAGCAAACAATCTTTGCAATCTTGGAATAAGAGGTAAGAACCATAATTGCTTCCTTGGAACTTTCTTTCTTCTTCCATGACACTTTTTGGAGGAATATCTTTCACAAAACTTACATTGGGTTGCACTATTATAATCTTTATAGTATAACATGTACCCATTCACACAACAATCAATTTTCTTATACTCAAGACCTAACTTCGACACTAACCTTTTTGTTTGGTACAAATCTGTAGGCATATGAGTGTTTTTAGGTTGTGTCCTCCTCATGAGTTGGGAAACTAAATTGTAGCCTTGATGTGATATGTTAGTCATTGCCTTAATACTTAATAACTGCAACGTTGCTGAAAGTTGAGATTTATCTTCACAACCTTCCCATAAAGGTTGTTGTGCAGCATGTAGCATGTCATAAAATACTTGTGCATCAGGATTTGGCATCTCTTCAACACCTTTATTATAGTTATCCCTAAAACTCGACCCAGCTGCATCTATCACCATGGTCTCATATTGACTTAATTGGTCACCAAGTGGTCTACCTAGCATTGGAGACATGGGTGAATGATATTCTATACTTCTCTCACCATGACTAGTCCATATATAATAGTCTGGCATGAATCCATATTTATAAATATGTGTCTTCACCTCATCGAGAATGAGATATGGCCTACATCTACATTTCACACATGGACACCTAAGCTTCCCCGATTTTTGGCAATAAGGTGATTGCATTGCATAAGTAAGAAACTCCTCTACACCTTGCTCAAATTCTATTGTAACCCATTTAGTACACAGATCTATTCTATTGTACATCCATCTCCGATTTTCTGCGCCTTCCATTCTAAGAAAGAGGTGTGCAATAATAATATGTAAGAATTGGAGAAGACAAGTAATATATATGACAAAAAAATACACATACACATATATATGAATAAGCAAAGTTAAATGTCAACATTTGTATATGAAGAAACTAACAAGTTTTATTTAAGGACAACTCCTACCAAAGACAAGACTTGCTAAACAATCATTAACAAATAGCTTTGAAGTACAAAAAAAAATGAAAAAGATTATGAAAAATGTAAGAGATAGGAATGTATTGAGACTACCTATCAACAACAATCAAACAACATATATCAAGCTAGATAAAAAAAACAAAACATTATACGTCAACCCAACTAACAGTTAAATGGTCACCTTACTTGAATAGTTCTACAACTTGTGTTTGGGTTGCCACTAGACCTCTAGCTAACTCTATCAAAGGAGCTGCTGTATCTCAGATTATTATAATCCAACCCTGCACACACAATCAGGTCAACAAATTAAAACCAGAAAAAAAAAAGCAATCACTAAGCAACCAAGCATTTCAATAATTAGTAAATATAATATAAATCAAGCATAAGCAACCAAGCATTTCAATAATTGGTAACTCTATACATAGACAATATATACGTACATCATAAGTCCCTTAATATTCTAAGCAACCAAGCATCTCATGTAATGACAGATTTTACATGTATTTGCCCAATTATGGCATTGCAAAAGTGATGTAAATCTGTATAATAGTTATGGAATGCTCAATCAGTAGGAAACTGTTTTGCTGTTTCAGGTAATAATGCTCATAATGTTTGAGGCTGAAATTATAGGCATTTTGGATCAGATGTTTGCAATCTTTTTAAGTTGTAATCTACTGAGGGATTAACATCTCAGCTCTTATTTATTTCCTTTGGAATGATCAATGCATATAGTTGGGGCTAGGCCTGTAGTAATAACTCAAAATCAGATTCTAATTTGATAGGATCTTTGACCATCCTAATGAAATGACATCCTAACAATATAAAATTAATAATACAATCAGGAAAAAAATTAGAAATAATTAAAGCTAATAAACCATAATAAATTAAAGAGCTAAAGTTTTAGTGTTGAAACTGCATGCATATTGAAAGAATTTTGTAAAAGTATAAGTTTAGTGTTGGAATTCAATTGATACATGTTAGTATCGATATACTGGTCCCCATGAGGTTCTCAATGAAGATTCCCCTGCTACAAGTATTTTTAATTTCTTTTAAATCATGATGAGTCTGATACATCATCTGCTTGCTAGATTAATAGTATTCCAGTATGTTTTGGCCATATCCAAGCAATACTCTTCGTTTATATTTTACACTGACAGGTTAATCATAAGTTACCAAATGCCTTGAAGCATTGCAACTATCAGAGTGAAATCTATATCAGCTTTACATGAGGGGGAATTTTTTTAGTCAGGTAATTGAATCTATAATGCAAATAAACAAACTAGGATGCTTTACACATGATTAACTTGCAACATTCTCATTTCATGAGTTTTACATCAAGAGTAACCAAATGCTTGTGCCATCACCATTACACAACACTCATCCACCGACTATGATGAATGTAATATGGAAGCAACAACACAATCAGATGTTTGTACTTTGATAGCTCGAAGAATTAGCTTTCTTAGATAGAAGCCAATTCCAATAATACAATAATAAATATAAAACGAATAACCAAAAAAAGCAAATGAAAGCAAAAAGGCCCAATTTATAGAAGTTACAAATAAGGGTTAGGAATTACAGATGTTTGTATACAACAATAAATATAAAACGAATATAAAACTCCAATAAAAAAGCATATATATCAAAGACCAGTATACATTAAAGCTTGCCTAAATGTGTACCTCATTTTCCATCTCCCAGAATGAATTGCAGAGAATCCAATCAACCAAATGAAGTGCTAATCCTCTGCAATGTCACTAGTCAAGGCAGTACTAAAAGGCAGTCACTTAGTACCAGTAGAAATATTTTCAACAAAACTAGAAGGGAGATCTGAACCTTGAAATAAAAAGTAACCCACAAATAAAATGAAATCTAAAAGGGAATCTGAACTAGAAGATGCAAACAAGAAATAGAATGCCAAGAAGCTACCCAGTGATGAATCTAAACGCTGACGATGAAAATAGAGGAGGCCGACAGAACGGAATAGAATCTAAACTCTAAAGAGGAGATCGAAGAATGTGAACGGACACAACAACGCAAACAGAAGGCTGACACTCTGAGTCTTAAAACCTGCACATTCAGGCGCGATTTGATCTGAGGAGGAGAAATGGAAGAAGAGTAGGAGTGGAGGATTGGAGGAGCCTTTGCTGGACTGGCAGACGATGGTGAAGGGGTTTCATCAGAGAAATAAACCCTTAGGCGTTGAGGAAACCCTTAGAAGTGGTTTGGCTCCTCCTCTTGCGATTCTTGTAATTTTTTAAAAGAAGGAAATTAGAAAAAAATCCTAAAGAGAGCAAATTTGTGATATTTGTGGAGGGAAAATGAATTTTGCCTTTGCAAACAGAGGGAACATGCGAATGTTTTGGAGGGGCAAGATTTTTCACACACATATAGATATAAAATCTAATTAAATGTTTCTTCAGTAAAAAATTATAAAATAAAATTGTTATTATAGAAAATATACTTAGCATTAAAATGATAAATTAATTATTAAAATTATTCCTTTTAATTATAATACCTCTCTCTCACATATCTTATCTCACTTTTAATTATATCACATCTCTCTCTCACACACTCTATCTTTCAGTGCCTTCCCTCTCAACTTTCCCTCCTTTTTTTTACCAGCAATTTTTGCCATCTAAGCATGTAATTAGAGAAAATCAATACATGCCTCAAAACCTAAATAGTAATAATAATATAGAAATATTGTCCAATAATGTTAAACTAATATCATACATATATATAGTGATATAAATATAAGATATATCAAGAAATAAGCATTAAAAAGAATATAATAATGTTAAAATAAAAAACATAAATATAAGACACTACAATAATAAAGATTTAAACCGCAGTTTATTCGAAATATTTTTATCAAATTTAATACAAATATATTTGAAATCTTTGACAATAAAATATAGATATATTTAAATATGAAATTTACAAATTAAATTTAATCCATAGGATTATAATGATAGGGGCAGAATCTCTAACTTATATGTTACCAGGATGAAATTTTTTTTTAAAGTAAAGTTGTCAAGCTTTTTATAATATTCTAATCAAATATTTTTAGATCTAATAAGATTTTTCTTATTATAGTCTTAGATCTACTCTATAATCTCTAATTTTCTTTTCTAATTATCATTTCTCAATTTCAAGATGACTAAACAGAAATTCAAAATATTTATAATTATTGTTTTAGAAATTCAAGATATTGATTCTCTTTTTATACTTTACCATCCCCTTATTTATCTTAGATGTTCTTATATATAATTTCATTATCAAATGAGCATTTACTATTACTCCAAGTCGCAAACGAGAATTAGGATACACACACTATAGATTATATTTAGGTTGTGTTTGGGATAGCGGTGACAGAAGTACAGGGTCATGTGGGTTCGTGTTTTTGTTTTCAGTGAGGTGAGAGAAAATTCATACAGGGTCAGGGTCATGTGGGTAAAAAACTTTAATACCCACATAAATTTTTTAATAATATTTTTCACCGCCCCTCAGCATCCCGAAAAAAGCTCCTTCAGATTGCTTCTTCCAGAAGCCCATTTCAGCCTCAGAAGCCAGATTGAGAAAACGTGGGCCCAAACATGATAAAACTGTCTCTTTAGCTTATCAGGTGGGGATGCACGTTTGGGGGTCCAAACGTGATCCCAAACACCCCCTTAATAACATGGGCCATCAGTTGAGTACTTTAGTCAAATAATGAAGCTAACCCAACATACTCGCTTTTGGATCTAAACTAACCTTGCCAAAACTTCTTTTGAACTTTCTTTTTTCGAACAGATCAAGTATATGCAAATTGAGCTAAATTGACCTCGTTATTAGGTTTCCAGCTTAACTCTATAGTTTATGGCGCCCTTATTATTCATTCAATGAAAATAAGTCAATAAATAATATTTCAATATGTTGTTAACTAAGTTATCAATTAGGTAAAAGTTCAATATGTCTTTACGTTTTCCACATGTCTTATCATATCTAAAGAAACGTTTCACATATCTTATCATATCTAAAGACACTTATTTGACACTAATGTTGAAAGAAAGAGCAGCAATCTGACAAAAAAATTAATCATATTGTAACAAGAAAATAAAATCATATTACGAATTATATTCAGATTTTTAATTTAAGTTCACAAGCTCAAAAAAATATAATCAATTTCAAAAAAGTGTCTAATAAGGATATCAATTTTCTTCTATTTCCCAACAGAAAATATGTATAAATAATTAAACTATTATATTTTATATATAGATAGATATATAAATTGTTAAAATACATGTCTAAATAATTACACTATTACATTATATAAATTTTTCAAATTTTATAATCATAATGTAGAATTTTGTGAATTTCATGTTAGCGATGGATTTTGTGACAGAATTTTGCGACAGAAACAAATTCTGTCAGAAAATCTATCACAAAATAGGAGTAGGAATTAGCGACGGAATTTTGTGACGAAAATATTCCGTCGCAAAATTCCGTCGCTAAGCCTATTTACTGACGGAATTTGTGACGGAAATATTCCGTCGCTAAAGTCTGTCAGAAATCCGTCAAAAACATTACCGATGGAATTTCCATCAAAATTCTGTCAGAAATTAGTGACGGAAAATATTCCGTCGCTAATATACTGTTTTTTTGTAGTGTCCGGTCATAGGCACCAAATGGGTATTCAAAAATAAGCTCGATGAGTTTGCACAAATCGTCAGAAACAAAGCCAGATTGGTAGCTAAAGGATATAATCAAGAAGAAGGCATTGATTATGAAGAAACTTATGCTCTAGTAGCTAGATTGGAGGCCATACGAGTACTCTTAGCCTTTACTTGCATTAAAGATTTCAAATTATATCAAATGGATGTTAAAAGTACATTTTTGAACAGCTATATTTTAGAAGAAGTTTTTATCGAACAACCTCCTAGTTTTGAAGATTCAAACTTTCCTGATCACGTTTATAAACTGAAAAAGGTTTTATATGGTTTAAAACAAGCTCGTAGAGCTTGGTATGAACGACTTAGCAATTTTTTTAATAGAAAAAGGATTTGAAAGAGGCAAATTAGATGCTACTCTTTTCATTAAAAGAAGTAGGAAAGATCTTTTGATTGTTCAAATCTATGTGGATGATATTATTTTCGGAGCTACTAATGAAGATCTTTGTCAAGATTTTGCTAAGTTAATGTAGGGAGAGTTCGAAATGTCGATGATGGGAGAGCTGAATTTCTTTCTAGGATTACAAATCAAGCAGAAGAAAAATGGCATATTTATATCCCAGACGAAGTATCTGAAGGAGTTACTAAAGAAATATGGATTAGAAAATGCCAAAAGTGTAAAAACTTCTATGAGCTCAACCATCTTGCTAGATGCAGACGAAAACGGCAAGGACGTGAATCGGACCAGATATAGAGGAATGATTGGCTCATTACTATATCTTACTGCTAGTAGACCAGATATTCAATTCAATGTGGGAATGTGCGCAAGATATCAATAAGCTCCAAAAGAGTCACATGAAGAAGCTGTCAAGAGAATTCTCGGATATCTTGTCGGAACTCAAAATTTGGGAATCTAGTATCCAAAGAAGGGAGTAGAACATCTAATGGGATACTCAGACGCAGATCATGGAGGATATAAGACAGACAGAAAAAGCACCAGTGGACAATGTCAATTTTTTGGAGGGTGCCTTGTCTCCTAGTCAAGCAAAAAGCAGAATACTGTGGCAATCTCCTCAATAGAATCAGAATATGTGGCCACTGCCAGCTGTTGTGCTCAGATTCTATGGTTAAAGCAACAGCTACAGGATCTAGGAATCAACTTACGAGAGATTCTAATCCTATGTGATAACACGAGTACGATAAGTCTGTCCAAGAATCCAGTTCATTATGCCCGAACTAAGCATATCGATGTTCGACATCATTTCATTCGGGATCATGTTCAAAAGAAAGATGTAAAGGTAGAATTCATTCCCACTGAATATCAAATAGCTGACATCTTCACGAAGCCTTTAGATCAACAGAAGTTCAACTTCTTTCGAAGAGAATTGGGAATGGTAAATCCCAATGAGTTGTAAGAAATCTCATATTATCTCTCAAATTTGAATCTTTAAATTTAATTTTTTAATGATTAAATGACTAACTTAAGCATCGGAGTGGATAGAAATTTGTTTTACAGGAAGTTCTATTTTGTCAAAGAAAAACAGAGGTAAACAGAGTATGGAATGATCAAACAAGAGATCGATAATCATGAAGCCACAAAGAAGTAATTTATCGATCACCTGATCGATAAATGTAGCATGTGAAGAAAAAGAAGAGATTCAGAATGATGATTATCAATAAGCTGATCGATAAATGGATTATCGATCAGAACATCGATCAGAAGCGGCAAGTCTTTTGCGACACTTTATTCAAACTTTGGTAAGCATTAATCGATAAGTTGATCGATAAACGGATTATCGATTAAATGATCAATAAAAAGACTAGGTACGCATTTCATCTACTAACTTTATTGATAACATGTTCGATAATTGATTGTTCAATAACGTGATCGAGAATTGGCTTCAGTATCCTTAGGTGTTCTTTATATTTATCGAACATGTGATCGATCATCCGCTGATCGATAACATGATTGATAATTTTGAACTTTATAACGTTAAAATTTTGAAAACCCCCCGTCAGTTATCAAACCCTAACTCGAACAAAACCGCTCTCTTGTTTCTAGCAATGGTCCAAAATCACTATTCCATTAAATTTCTGGTCACCCATCCACTCGAATCCATCTCCACCACCTTTTTGACTACCACCAAACTCAAAATACTCTCTTTCAACTGATTAATTTCTCCAAAATCTGTCGGTGCCTTTGAAATGGCACGGGTGAAACAGCCGAATGTGGAAAGGGAAGAAAGCTCTGA